TAATAATAATAATAATAATAATAATAATAATAATAATAATAATAATAATAATAATAATAATAATAATAATAATAATAATAATAATAATAATAATAATAATAATAATAATAATAATAATAATAATAATAATAATAATAATAATAATAATAATAATAATAATAATAATAATAATAATAATAATAATAATAATAATAATAATAATAATAATAATAATAATAATAATAATAATAATAATAATAATAATAATAATAATAATAATAATAATAATAATAATAATAATAATAATAATAATAATAATAATAATAATAATAATAATAATAATAATAATAATAATAATAATAATAATAATAATAATAATAATAATAATAATAATAATAATAATAATAATAATAATAATAATAATAATAATAATAATAATAATAATAATAATAATAATAATAATAATAATAATAATAATAATAATAATAATAATAATAATAATAATAATAATAATAATAATAATAATAATAATAATAATAATAATAATAATAATAATAATAATAATAATAATAATAATAATAATAATAATAATAATAATAATAATAATAATAATAATAATAATAATAATAATAATAATAATAATAATAATAATAATAATAATAATAATAATAATAATAATAATAATAATAATAATAATAATAATAATAATAATAATAATAATAATAATAATAATAATAATAATAATAATAATAATAATAATAATAATAATAATAATAATAATAATAATAATAATAATAATAATAATAATAATAATAATAATAATAATAATAATAATAATAATAATAATAATAATAATAATAATAATAATAATAATAATAATAATAATAATAATAATAATAATAATAATAATAATAATAATAATAATAATAATAATAATAATAATAATAATAATAATAATAATAATAATAATAATAATAATAATAATAATAATAATAATAATAATAATAATAATAATAATAATAATAATAATAATAATAATAATAATAATAATAATAATAATAATAATAATAATAATAATAATAATAATAATAATAATAATAATAATAATAATAATAATAATAATAATAATAATAATAATAATAATAATAATAATAATAATAATAATAATAATAATAATAATAATAATAATAATAATAATAATAATAATAATAATAATAATAATAATAATAATAATAATAATAATAATAATAATAATAATAATAATAATAATAATAATAATAATAATAATAATAATAATAATAATAATAATAATAATAATAATAATAATAATAATAATAATAATAATAATAATAATAATAATAATAATAATAATAATAATAATAATAATAATAATAATAATAATAATAATAATAATAATAATAATAATAATAATAATAATAATAATAATAATAATAATAATAATAATAATAATAATAATAATAATAATAATAATAATAATAATAATAATAATAATAATAATAATAATAATAATAATAATAATAATAATAATAATAATAATAATAATAATAATAATAATAATAATAATAATAATAATAATAATAATAATAATAATAATAATAATAATAATAATAATAATAATAATAATAATAATAATAATAATAATAATAATAATAATAATAATAATAATAATAATAATAATAATAATAATAATAATAATAATAATAATAATAATAATAATAATAATAATAATAATAATAATAATAATAATAATAATAATAATAATAATAATAATAATAATAATAATAATAATAATAATAATAATAATAATAATAATAATAATAATAATAATAATAATAATAATAATAATAATAATAATAATAATAATAATAATAATAATAATAATAATAATAATAATAATAATAATAATAATAATAATAATAATAATAATAATAATAATAATAATAATAATAATAATAATAATAATAATAATAATAATAATAATAATAATAATAATAATAATAATAATAATAATAATAATAATAATAATAATAATAATAATAATAATAATAATAATAATAATAATAATAATAATAATAATAATAATAATAATAATAATAATAATAATAATAATAATAATAATAATAATAATAATAATAATAATAATAATAATAATAATAATAATAATAATAATAATAATAATAATAATAATAATAATAATAATAATAATAATAATAATAATAATAATAATAATAATAATAATAATAATAATAATAATAATAATAATAATAATAATAATAATAATAATAATAATAATAATAATAATAATAATAATAATAATAATAATAATAATAATAATAATAATAATAATAATAATAATAATAATAATAATAATAATAATAATAATAATAATAATAATAATAATAATAATAATAATAATAATAATAATAATAATAATAATAATAATAATAATAATAATAATAATAATAATAATAATAATAATAATAATAATAATAATAATAATAATAATAATAATAATAATAATAATAATAATAATAATAATAATAATAATAATAATAATAATAATAATAATAATAATAATAATAATAATAATAATAATAATAATAATAATAATAATAATAATAATAATAATAATAATAATAATAATAATAATAATAATAATAATAATAATAATAATAATAATAATAATAATAATAATAATAATAATAATAATAATAATAATAATAATAATAATAATAATAATAATAATAATAATAATAATAATAATAATAATAATAATAATAATAATAATAATAATAATAATAATAATAATAATAATAATAATAATAATAATAATAATAATAATAATAATAATAATAATAATAATAATAATAATAATAATAATAATAATAATAATAATAATAATAATAATAATAATAATAATAATAATAATAATAATAATAATAATAATAATAATAATAATAATAATAATAATAATAATAATAATAATAATAATAATAATAATAATAATAATAATAATAATAATAATAATAATAATAATAATAATAATAATAATAATAATAATAATAATAATAATAATAATAATAATAATAATAATAATAATAATAATAATAATAATAATAATAATAATAATAATAATAATAATAATAATAATAATAATAATAATAATAATAATAATAATAATAATAATAATAATAATAATAATAATAATAATAATAATAATAATAATAATAATAATAATAATAATAATAATAATAATAATAATAATAATAATAATAATAATAATAATAATAATAATAATAATAATAATAATAATAATAATAATAATAATAATAATAATAATAATAATAATAATAATAATAATAATAATAATAATAATAATAATAATAATAATAATAATAATAATAATAATAATAATAATAATAATAATAATAATAATAATAATAATAATAATAATAATAATAATAATAATAATAATAATAATAATAATAATAATAATAATAATAATAATAATAATAATAATAATAATAATAATAATAATAATAATAATAATAATAATAATAATAATAATAATAATAATAATAATAATAATAATAATAATAATAATAATAATAATAATAATAATAATAATAATAATAATAATAATAATAATAATAATAATAATAATAATAATAATAATAATAATAATAATAATAATAATAATAATAATAATAATAATAATAATAATAATAATAATAATAATAATAATAATAATAATAATAATAATAATAATAATAATAATAATAATAATAATAATAATAATAATAATAATAATAATAATAATAATAATAATAATAATAATAATAATAATAATAATAATAATAATAATAATAATAATAATAATAATAATAATAATAATAATAATAATAATAATAATAATAATAATAATAATAATAATAATAATAATAATAATAATAATAATAATAATAATAATAATAATAATAATAATAATAATAATAATAATAATAATAATAATAATAATAATAATAATAATAATAATAATAATAATAATAATAATAATANGAATTTTCGGCCATTTTGAACTTTAACCGGCCGCCATTTTGAAACGGTTTGAGATATTGACTTCGGGTTTGCGCGAAAAGTTTTCTTTTTTTATGCTCTTTCGAACGAGCTATCACAAAGGGGGTCTTCCCATTTGAAAATTAAAAGTTGGGGGCCGTTGCCCCCCCAAGGGGGCCCCCCTGAAAATTTTAGGGGGGCCAAAAAGTAGCTCCCTTTGACCTACGAATATCCCCCAAGTTTCAAATCTTTACCTCAATTAGGTAAAAAGTTCGAGGGGGTGGAAGGGACTTTTGGATCACCCTGTATAGATAGATATTATACCAAAGCCTCCCCCTCACCCACACCCCGACGTAATGCCAACAGGCGGTTCTGGGGCCCTGATATTATAGATATAGACGAATAGACTAGACAATTAAGATAAAATATATAATTAAAACTCTTCAACTGTATGAATGTATCTTTAAACTCTAATAAAGAACTTCCAAAAAAAAAAAAAAATAAAAAAAAAAAATAAATATGTTGATTGAATGGAGCAAGTACCCTTATTCCCATTTTTCGCTAATCACACCGAACGCAATGGGCCGTTTATACTTCTTCCTTTTTTTTTTTAGGTTATTACTGTAAGAAATCTCTAAAGAGGAAAAAAACCAAAAAACTGAGGAAGTTGGTAATGATAAAAAAATGGAAACATCTGAATGTTACAGATAAAATCAAGTAACACTCACTGTGTCAACTCTAAAAAATCATAAATCTGCTCATAATATGCTCCTCAGATGGTCTTGTGCGTGTTTCAGTTAGTCCTTTTTTCTGAGAAATTGATTTTGTTCTCATTAATGAACTTTGCTAAAGGCAAAGTCACTCCGTGCTTGTACAGGAACTGATTATTGAGTAATGTTTTTTCTTCCTTTTTTTTTAAAAAAAAAAATGAATATAAAATTTAGGCTTTAGATCGAGATCCACCCAATGGATTCGAAATATGGCAAGTGCTCATTGCTGCATATGATAACAATGGACCTGGGCCGGACAGTTTAACAGAAAGTGCAGAAGTAATTATTTCACTTTCAGATGTCAACGACAATGCACCGTATCTAAATATGGTAAGTTCCTCCTGACTTGAATTGTTGTTTTTCAGTTTTTATTCTTGAGAAAGGAACAAGTTGCTATGTTTTAAAAAAATGTCCAGAATGAAAAGGTAACCGGTAGTTTGGTGCTGTCAGAACAGGAACTTGTTCCATCAGAGACCTGAAAACTTAGTGACAGTTCGTTCTTAAATACACCTCAATTTAGATTGCCCCTGAAGTAAGGAAGGAGGGGATTAAGAACGTAACAAGTTCCTGAAAAATCAGGGAAAAGTTACTACATTTTATCCCACCATGATGAAAGGTTAGGGACAGCTACCACACGGTCCTTGAAGAAATTTGGTATCAAAGTAAATAAAATTCAGGTATGCTCCTCAGACACAGACCATGCAAAGTCGATAAGATGTTTAGTCGCGTCGATTTTGTTTCAGTCTTGGCGGAAAAGAACCCCGCACAGAGCCTGGGGGTCAGTGGCTCTCTCTAGAAGTCGATGAAACTTTAATAGATTGATGTAAAGTTCATAATCAAGGTAAAGCCAAAACATTAGTTCACTTTTGCGAGTAGAAGCCGAAATATTTGCAATCGAATCTGGACTATTTTCTGTCATGCCACAGCATGGCGGAAGAATTCTGAGTCTCCTCTTGTAGTTCGGTGTTCTCGATCAGACCTCACACGTAGATAGGTGCTTATGCGCTCGGCCGGTGCGAATGCTGTACTCCCTCCCTCTCCCCGTATCTGTCAATTCTGTCTCAGCAAGTACATTTCAGATTCAACCGGTCGGCGGTGAACGCACGGGGATTTAAAGAGGGTATATGTATGAAGTGCGAGAAGCAGAGAACTCCATATCTCACAGCCCAAACGGAACGTCCCAATGAAAGGAGTGAGTGTAAACAATGCGACATTGTAGTTACCTCGTGGGGAGAGGGGATTTCCTGGCCGAAGTGCTCAAGCAAGGTAAGGCGATGCAAAGCGCCCATTTACCTCCGCCTCACAGTAAATAGTCCGGGTTCAATCGCGAATATCTCGGCTTCTAATCTAAATGAGCTAATTGAGCTAAGTCAGCTAATTTTTTGGCTTTCCCTTAATTATGAACTTTTTATCAGTCTGTTAAAGTTTCATCGACTTCTAGAGAGAGCCACTGACCCCCATGCTCAGTGCGAGTTCTTTGCCCTGGAGATAAGAGAATCAAAAACAATCGAGTTCTACGAGTAATTTTGGGCAGCATCCTATCAAAATTACTAATTTTGTACCTTATCCAGTGGTTCATATTAAAGCTTATCATGCTCAGATGATCATTTAGAATATCAGTTACAATTTTAAGAAAATTTAGCTGGTGCCAAATCCCTTTATTATCCGTGCAGCATCCCTCTGCCATGAAACCTCAGGTTTTCTTTTTTTATTCAAATAAGTTGTTGTAAATAAGTAATTAATGTTAACCCAGGAGAAAGTGAAGAAATTTCATAAATATAAACTGTTCTCTTTGATCTGCGTGCGTTACATTTGAATTGTCTAATGCTCTGTTTGTGTGCTTGCAATGTCTCTTTCTAGCCACAACCTGTTGTATGGAGAGAAAATCAGCCGCCTGCTCCCATCACAACATTACTTGCAAAAGACAATGACAGTCCATCGAATGGTCCACCTTTCAGATATTCCATTGACATAAGTGCCTCGTCTGAGATCAAGGCCAAGTTTGGCATTTTAGGTAATTTCTACCTTAAGTTGATTTCAACTTTTTCTACAGCAATAGATTGTCCGTGTTCTTTTAATGTTGCAAGAGTCATTCTCATTGCTTTTTTATAACATGTTTGTTAATGATTTAAAAATGCTGTGGGTTCCCTTATAAGGAAGGGCGGCCACAATATCATTCAATCTCTAAGAAAATTAATCATCGCACCAGCCTTACAAGACCAGCGGTAATATTTCTTGTTAAGCTGTGTTGGTAACACATCACCATTGCGCTTCGGCATAAAAAATGCACTCACCCCACTACTAGTCACCAGATGAACGCCCCTTTATTTACTACCTGGACTGCCTTAGCCTAGCATTTAAAGTGCAACCGAAGACATCAAGGCTCAACCTTTTTCATCTAGACTTCTGCATTTAATTTTTTAAAGGTATTGGTAAGAAAACGGCTTTGGTTTCATGAGATAATTACAGGGATTCTACTTCCAGAAAGACCTGGGAAAATCCAGGAAATGGAATTCTGTGGGAAAACTCAGGGAATTTGACGTTGACTCCGGAATTTTTACTTTTTCAGCTCTTTGAATTCAATGAATTTCTTTCCATCAATCAATATTGAATTATTTTCCCCCTCAGCTTGCTCCGTAGACTAATGATACTACAATTTATTGAGTTTTCCCAAAAAGGAAGAAAAAAGAACAAGTTTCAGACTGAAAGATACTACCTTTCTTTCTAGCATGTCCTTACTGACTTCTTACATATATTGATAACAATAATAACGGAATGAACAGGTATGATTGAGAAAGGGAAAATAGGACTTAAAGTGAAAAGTCTGATTTTTCAATATATTGGAAAAATCCGATAAAAGAATAAAAAGTTATGCTGATGACTTTTTAGTTTTGGATGGAAAAGCTCTCTAATCGTCATGCTGAAAAGCATTAGATCATTTACATTACTAAGTAATATTACAAGCGTTTTACATGATGCTTTTAAGGCTTGCAACAGGGCCACTAAACTTGAACTCTATACTTCTCAAGTTTGTGTTGTATCATTCTCTAACTTTAAAATGATCTCAAAGAGTCAATTTTTGAAAGAATAGGCCAATTGTGTTTGTGAAGGAATTGTGTTTTGATGGTTTTAGATTTTAGATCAGCACAAAATAGTAAGATCTGTCCAAACGCCAAGTATCTAGCTCCAATATTAACTTTATTATTATGATATTTCTCTTCCAAAAATACAGTGTTTGGCACATTGATGCGGTTGTGCTTACTGTGGTTTTCTATACCCTGGCTCCATCAATCGGTGATGCACTTATTTGTACGGGTTCCTTGATTTGAATTACATATAAAACCAAGGTGGAAGAAATCATGGCATAAACTGCCGCAATAGATGGTGTCATATGCTGTATTTTGAAGGGTGATATCGCCATTAATATTGGACTTTGAAAGTTGAAGTTTAGAAAAATTCTATTATTTTTTGCGAATCTATCAACAAAAATCATCAAAACATGATCCTATGATTAGCGCAATTGACTCATTAATCCCCATGAGCCATGGCAGAGCCTACTTTTGTCCTCTTTTCACCTCAAGCCTCGTTTTGTCTGACCTAATTACAGTTTTTTATGAAATTTGTTCAAAAGTCGAAAAATTACTATTTATCAAGCAGTTAAAAATGTTCAAGTAGGCACTGTAAAGTATAGTTTTGGAAAAATTGGCTCTTTGAACGTCTTAAACTGAGAGGAGAATTTGCCCTGATTCTCAGGAATTCGTGACATACTACAACAGCATACAAAAAATTTTAAGTTTCGGTTCTTTAGAGTGTTATCTGTGAGAGTTTCTTTTTGTTATATTCAATTAATCAAGATTCCTCTCTATGTGTTAAATGTAAATACCCAGAAGTACTATTTTAATTTCAGCATTGGCTAGTTTTACTATATGTTAAAAATTCATTGAAGATGTGAAGTTTGTTCAATGAATCAAGTGTTCTGTCTTGTTTCTGTCAGTATTCTTTTCATCGGTAATACCTGATTTGTTTTACCTAATAGCATTCTCAATGGAGACAATGAGTAATGTATTAATTTTGACTGGTGGAACATGTAGGTTTGACACATCTTTTGGAAACAGTAAGTTTTCTCTGAAAGATCTTACCAAGTAGAAACAACAATTCTGTGTTACTGAAGAGGGCAGTTAAATTCATTCAGTCCATTTAGTGAACTGACTGATTCAGCTGAAACAGAAAAATTCGTCCAATTAATACAAGAATGAGGTCAATGAGAAAACAGTAAGAGGGCACGAATTGACATTGTTCAGACAAAGTAGCAAGTTCACATTATTTGCAAGAAGACTGCTGCCTTGAGTAAAATTGTATACTCTTTTCCAAAGAGAAAATATGAGTCTGCATTGGTTAGAGAAAGTGCAAAAATACTAGATCTTCCAGCAGGTATTTTTTTTTTTTGCCAATCAGGCTCCTGACAACCATTTATTCATTCCATATGGAAAGTAACATGCGAAATCGAAACCATATATTTTTGTGAATACGGTCAGTTTTTTGGCAAAAATATGTTCACGACAAACTGCTCCTCGATTTTGCATTCCTATCGATGTATTATCCGTTCCACTTACTTCAAGAAAAACCAAAGATGTTGATTTTAAAATTACAATTTTCTTCTACTTGGGTCAATGGTTTTGATCAGAGAGCTAACAATATAGTCAAATACATCAATTTTAGTAAAAAAAAAGTGAAATTTCGAAAATCAAGGTCTTCGGTGTTTTCTTGAGAAAGTGGAAAGTATTATACATCAAGAGGAGAAATGCCAAATCTGGGAGAAGTCAGTTGTGAACAAATTTTTTCTGAAAAATTGACTGAATTCAAAAAAACAAATGAATTCGATGTTCCATAAGGAATGAAAAAGTGGTGGTCCACTGTTTGATTGGCTAAAAAAAAAGCTTGGGATAATCTTGTGGTCACAAACTTTCCCTTTTCCATGCGAACTCTTATTTTCTCTTTTCCCCTTTCTGCCAATTTCTAACCTTAAACTTCGTTTATTGTAAGATCAAAACGTTACCACAGAAGCATGTTGAATGTAGTAGTAACTGAAGTTTTGCCTCTCATTAAATGAGAAAAGCATCTTGTGTACATTTGAAAATAATATTTGTCAATTTTTAATCATATAAACAATTTCTATATCTCTCGGATGACTTTCGAACCGATAATTTGTTTAACACAATATTCCACTCACACCCATGGATCACCGGATCCATTTCCACAAGACTTCATTTGTGCACTTACTGTTCTCCTCAGTAACATGGGAGGAGAGCTAGGTCTCCCTTTAGATTGTCGTGATAGAATGAAGAAGTAATTTTTTTATTTTTCTATTGAAAGAGTAGTGATATTCATCAAGTAGTGGTTGAAATGCTTTTTAGTTGAATGTAGGAGCTTGAACAGTTTCATTACCCTGAGTTCCTGTCAGCAAGTGCACTGTGATATGAGGGAGACAATCAGAGACCTTTTCAAAAAAGATGTCAATGTTAATAGGTCTGTGAATTATTGTAGAAAGGTCTTATAGAGATTTGTAAACATATCATTCGATTTATTGCATCCTAGCGGCCATAAGAGTGACTGGCACATACCACTGACTCCACTTCAGTAAAATTCAAAATCTCTCACAAGGTGGTTTCTTTCAGTAACTTTATGAAGGAATATGTCAATACTTCATAAACAAGATCATACCCTTTTAATACTAATGTATCCCTCTACTCGTTTTTTTTGAAAGGATTCACAGGAGGAAGCTGTCCAAATTATTTAATGGTAGTCAGATTCTCAATCTATACAGGTCCACTGGTCAGGAAACGATCAGGTATTTTTAGGCTCAAATGACAGGTATAAGCTCAAGAATAGTTAGCATCTATGTTAAATGAGTAATTGGAAGAACAACCCACAAGTCAACTCAGGGTGTGCAAATCTCGAGTTTTGGATCCGAATTGAACCATGAAAAAAACCGCTTTACCTGAATCTTGAACAGAACCCTCTCTTTTATTCAATGAAAACTTCTCACTTACGAGGGCTGTCCCAAAAGAAGACTTTTGTCATAGAAGGCGAACCGAGCGTTGTAATGAAGTTTTCTTGGGCTTGTTTGAAAGCTGATAAGCTACTGGAGATGCTTGTTTTTACAGAATGCAAAAATTTGGCTTGGTAAGGAAACTACACACTTTGGAAGAAAGGAAAGTCAAACTCGAGTTGCGATTTTTGTCTTTATTTCAAGAAAAATTCAGATACAACTAAGAAAAACCCAGGTTTTAAGTTATAAACTTCGTTGCTCTCTTATTCAAATGCTTAAAAATAAGGAAATTAACATTTTAAGCAGCTTACCAAGTCATCACCTATCCTCTTCAAAACACTCGCCCGCTTTGTCGATGCATTTTTGCCACCGTTTCTTCAATTGGGAGAAACACTGTTGGAAATTCTCAGGTTTGAATGATCGCAATTCCTCCAAGGTGTTCTTTGGAATTTCTGGAATGGTTTGAAAACATCGACCTTTCAAGGTAGATTTAAGTCGTGGAAATAAGAAAAAATCACACGGAGCCAGGTCAGGTGAATAAGGGGGATGAGGGAGGACACTCATGGCATTCTTTGCACAAAATTCTCGAATTTGGAGGGATGCATGGGCAGGTGCATTATCGTGATGCAAAAACCAGGAATTCTCTCTTCAAAGCTCGGGCCTTTTTCTGCGGACATTTTCGTGTAACTGTCTTAGAACACCTTTGTATTATTTGCGATTGACAGTTTCACTTTAAAGGAATTGCGATCATTCACAGAAACTTTATTCAAATATACAACATTAATTACTTTAATTAACATTTGGTTTTTTGATTTTGGCAAACAGAGTTGCAAAATTGTTTCTTAAACCGTTTTAATGCACTATACAGGCAATAGTTCAAAATACAAGAGATCGGCGGGAAAATTCGAATTTTAGAAATTTTCGTGATAGCAAGGTTTTTTAACTAGGTGAGAGAAACTGAAGGGTATCTGTTTATTTAGCCACGGCTCATTTAGCCGCGTGGCGAACTGCAACAAAAATTGTTGCAAATTGCCACAAACTCTAGGTGCTGTGTGGCTAAATGAAACAAGAAAAATTAGTGTGGCAAAATGCAACAAAAATTGTTGCAGTTAGCCACAGTCTTTGGAATGGCCCATCAAATTTAGCGAAAAAAATTGTTATTTATCCTCCCATTTTTATTTTACTGCGGTGTGAGTGATTTTATTAAGAGTCTGGAATAGATTAAAAAGTATAAATAACCAATTTTTATTTTAATAATTTTACCATCCTTCACTAGTGACCAATGCAATACTGCTTCTACTTTACGCTGAAATACATGAAAATTTACTAATTGGAAAGTATTCGGAGGAATTATTGACCACATGCGTGCAGCTCGCCTTCCTTAGGTTAGGTTAGGTTAGGTTAGGTTAGGTCAGGTTAGGTTAGGTTAGGTTAGGTCATGTTAGGTTATGTTATGTTAGGTTAGGTTAGGTAAAGTTCGTCTCGATTAGGTTCGGTAACGCTGCAATGTAGATACGTGGTTTTGTCCTTTGGCCATGTGGCTAACTGCAACATAATTCGTTGCACTTTGCCACGTTTGCCACACTAGTTTTTTTTGTTTCGTTTAGCCACAAAGCACCTAGAATCCGTGGCAAGATGCAACATTTTTCGTTGCATTTAGCCACGTGGCTAAATGAAACGTAATCAAAATGAAGAAATTCGAAATTAAGAGGTTTTGCAGATACAGAGTTAACTGACAGTTTTATTTACATGTTTGCTTAATGAAAAATCTACTCAGATGTATGACAAAAGCTTTACTTTCAAAGAAGAGAATATCAATTTACACTGTCCTATATTACTTATTTGTTCATTTTTCTATTTTTTTTTTTTTTAGATTCACAGCTAACTGCCCTAGTAGAATTTGATCGAGAGGAAAAGAAAATATACCATGTTCCAATTGCAATAGAAGACAGTGGAAGCCCAGCAATGACTGGCACTAGCACGTTAATGGTTGTCATCGGAGATGAAAACGATAATGCCATGAAAGAAGGCTCCAGTGAAATTTTCTTTTACAAGTATATGGTATGACTTTTCATATTTCACAAAGCGAGGCAAAATTTGCTTTGAGGTGAAGGGAGAGTTTAGACAGCTTAATTTTGCATCATTGGGCGCTAAAAAAACCCAATAATTAACCCCTTAGCAGCAGTTTAAAGTTTTAGGACAAAAATCAAAGAATTGGAATATAGTGCCGTCACAGTTTGCTGGCATTATCTCCAGTGTTAGAAATTATTTACTTCATACGTTTGTGACACCATTAAAAATACAAATAGTGACTTGAAACTCTTACCCAATTTTCTTGGAAACATCAGAGTGATAAGCATCAAAATCTGACAACCAAAAATGTTGACCTCCGATAGATTTTTCGTTGCATTGAACGATTTTAGTTTCTGCTGCAAGGCTTATTTGGCATGGCTCCATCACAAATTTAATTTGCCCCCAACTTATTTTCTAGAATCGGAAACACAGGAAAATGCAGAAAAAAGGCTAAAATACAAAATACCAAGGCAGGACGTTTCGGTACCTTACGGCTCCATTATCAATTGCTAAAATAGAATTAAAAATGAAAAATAAATTAAAATAAAAATAAAAAACCATGTAACGCCGTTTGTTGGTTTTTTATTTTTATTTTAATTTATTACCTATTTTTAATTCTATTTTAGCAGTTGATAATGGTGCTGTAAGGTACCGAAACGTCCTGCCTTTGTATTTTGTATTTTAGCCTTGTTTCCGCATTTTCCTATGTTTTCGATTGTTGTTTCCGTTTCAGGCTGCTTTTACAAGTCTCTTTGTTCCCACTTATTTTCTACTAAGTATTCAAACAAGAAGAACAGCATTTCTTATAATCCTTTTTTCCCCTCTCTATCTTGGTTTTTTTTTACTTGTAAGAAGTAATTTTTTTACGGACACGTTTTCTCTTATTTGAAGCATACCATACTTGCAAGGGGTGTTGCTAAAACAAAGTAAGTTACATTGAATAGTCAAAAGCATGTCTTTTGATCAAGTTTGGTTTGAAAAAAGCTGCCTCCTCCAGAGAATATTCCCAACAGCACCGGTTTTCAACTCAGGCTCTCATCTACATTTCAGGCAATCTAAAGAATTAACTCCCAAAACCTATCAAGTACTTGAAAAGTCAGTGAATTTGCTACTGATTCCTGAAATTAATTTTGCAGAATGAAAAATCTAAATATGTATTTTCAATTTTAAAAGACTTTGTGTCCAAGAAATTGTGAAAAGCTTAAATGAGTATTCATGCCAAAGCAACATCGAAAATTCATGTAGTTGCATGTTCAAGAACTCATTGAAGTCAGGGAATTTTGTAACTCAACGAAAGTCAGCACCTGAAGCAAGGCTCTTCTCAACGACTCCATAATCAATTTATTATTGCAGCCTGCTTCACAATAGAAGATTAGTTCATTTAATATTACATACAATTGTAAACACTTTGACTCATATCATAAAATTGATTATTGTTTGCGTTTACCAGTCTGCACTAAATGAAGAAAAAAATAAAAAAAGAAGTAAACTATAATACGATTCTTGGGAAAGCCAGATGCACCATGAGGACTAGAGCAAATTTCTCATGCTCACTTGCAGGACATCTTAACAAACTTTTTTTTTTAAAAAAAAAAGGAAAATTTCACCATCATAAAATCTCTAGAGCATTGATTTGTCTACATTATTCTTAAAATTAACGCCTAGATTTTAATTACACTGTTCCATTTAGATACTGGAAACTGTGCTAGGGAAATTGCAGTTCAGTATTTTACCAAGGGGCTTACTCCTGCAAGACTGGAATTACTGAAGTGCTAAAAATCTGGAAGAGCGTCTTTCATCATGAAGTTACGGAATACCAAAGTTTTACCGCTTGATCTTAAGTTTCAAGGAAAGCTAAAAAGAGGTGGTTTTAAAATTAAGTGCTAAGAAAGTGGTAAGAAAAGTGATAAATTAATGAATGTGAGCCTTGGTTGCTCTGAAAGAGTTTGATAATTTCTTTTAGCAAGAAGGAAATATCCTTGATAATTGCCTGATTAATTAAGATAAACCTTAATACAGCACGTTTTAAAACTTAATGGGTTTTAAAAAAGTATACATCTGAAGTTACTGGAAAAGTCTGCTCAACATCGTCATCTCATGCACTTTTTTTTTTTTTTTTTAGGATGATAAGCAAGAAGATGTCCCAGACACTGAAATAGGTCGTGTTTTTGTTGATGACTTGGATGACTGGGACTTGCCAGACAAAACATTCAACTGGCTCAATGAACCACATCCCTACTTCAGCCTAAATGGCACCACTGGAATGATCACCTTGAAATCTGGATTCAGCAATGAGTCTTACCTCCTCGATTTCTTGGTGACGGAGTCAGCACTGAAAGTTGCCAGTCACTCTGTTCAGGCCAAAGTTAATGTCACAATCAAATTCATCCCTGAAGAAGCAGTTGATAAGTCTGGTTCATTAAGGTTAGCCGGCATTTCGGCGGAAGACTTTGTTGCTACTTCTGTGGTAAGGTTTTAAGTCACTTTTAATTAAATAGGTCTTATTCCGTGTTTTACAGAAAGAATAAATCAACAAGATAGGTCGAAGAGGAAAAAGAGCCTCGCCAAAAAGTGGTGTTTTTTCGCCCCTTTTTGTACACCTGAGTTGATCAACCGGACAGTGCTCAAATGAAAGCCTATGGTAAGGCAAACTTCCATGCAAAGTTTCAACTTGAAGTGACCCCTCGTTTAGTCTCTACAGCGTTGCCAATTTTCCATTTTTATGTGCTAAAATCAAGGAATTCAGGACTAAAAGTCCAGTGCGTCATAATTAAACAGATTAGTGCATCAGTCTATGAGCTGAAAACTACCCTGAGATCGAATAGAAGCGCAACTAAAGGCCATCGCGAACTTTTCGAAGCAGTGTTGCCAATATTTTATTCATTTTGTTAACATAAAATTAGAGTATTTTCTAGATTTTTGGCAGAAAACATACCTACATGGGCTATAACTTTGATGAGTATGGGCTAAACATTACGACTCGATTGTAAATGAACGCTACAGACGGAGAAAATTGAATTCCGAACACAATGTTGCCAAGTATATTTTAATTTCTTACAAAAATTATAGATTTTCTCACGCGAATGCTTCGATAACGTAATTTCCAAGGCATTCATGTCATTCTGATGACTGAATATCACCATGGCATAGTACATGATTACTGTTCAAGGCAAAAATGGAAAGTTCAGAGTAATGTTGCCAAATCGTGTACATTTATTTTATGACGAGACGCCAATATTTTTGAGCTTTTCGCGTGTATAATCGCTATCAGAATGACATGAATGCCTCGGAAATAACCCCCCCCCCCTTAATGCCTCCCCCCTTTATGCCTTGGATAATTCGCTATCAGAATCACATGAATGAATTGGAAATTACGTTATTGAAGCATTCACGTGAGAAAATCTATAATTTTTGTAAGAAATTAAAATATACTTGGCAACATTGTGTTCGGAATTCAATTTTCTCCGTCTGTAGCGTTCATTTACGATCGAGTCGTAATGTTTAGCCCATACTCATCAAAGTTATAGCCCATGTAGGTATGTTATCTGCCAAAAATCTCGAAAATACCCTAATTTTATGTTAACAAAATGAATAAAATATTGGCAACACTGCTTCGAAAAGTTCGCGATGGCCTTTAGTTGCGTTTCTATTCGATCTCAGGGTAGTTTTCAGCTCATAGACTGATGCACTAATCTGTTTAATTATGACGCACTGGACTTTTAGTCCTGAATTCCTTGATTTTAGCACATAAAAATGGTAAATTGGCAATGCTGTACAGCCTAAACGAGGGGTCACTTCAAGTTGATACTTTCCACGGAAGTTTGCCTTACCATAAGCTTTCATTTGAGCCTTGTCCCGTTGACCAACTCAGGTATACAAGAAAAGGGGCTAAACTTGGCAAGGCTCTTTAAAACTTGATTATCTTGCATCCAAGAAATAAATTGCATGACTAAGGCAAGTAGTTTTCTTCTCATCCTCTCATTCCAAAGAATTTTTTCACCGAAAATTCAAAGTATAATTTCAAAACAAGAGTCTCAGTTTTTCCCAAGTGGTCTAGGATATCACCATATTCAGGATTTACATGGTAAGCGTCATTTTCATGTACATCCAATCATCTATTCAGGGTGTTCCAACAATTTATGAATCAATTTTTAGGTCAAAATGAGACTTTTTTTGTAGTATGAAATTTGTTCCCAAACGCTTCTTTTTGGGGGCACAACCCTCCAAATTGCTGAAAAATATCTTACTCCATCTTTAGTTCTCTATATTTAGCAATTTTGCTCACTTTTCAACCATATGAAGTTCATCTCATGTATGTTTCATTGTTTTTTTTTTTTTTTTTTTCTTTCATGTTTGGGCTTAAATTTAAGATTCCAACTCTTGCAAGATGGGTTAAGGGGTCACAATATTTGTTGAATCTGTCAAAATCCCTGTAGGTGCTGTAGGTGCAAAAGCCTCAATCAAATGTAGTCAAAGTATTCTGATCCAGAAGACAAACTCTTGTCTGGAAGCGAGGCTTGCAAAAGGAACCCACTTTGAATAATTTATACACAACTGATAGACTGCGAACCAGCGCCCCCCCCCCCCCCCCCNCCCCCTGGTGGGAATTTTGGAGATGGTGATTTACTTGAAGCTCTCGACAGAATAAGATATTTCTTCTTTAGGCTAATTCTATCAAGGTGGAGAGGGGGGGAGCGAGCCCCCCCTAAACCCCCCTAATTTGCTCAGAATTCCGACTTTTCAGCGAATTTTCCCATTTTTCCCGAAAAGGCTTGGTTTTAGGGCAAAACTCCACAAAACCAATCTGAAAGCTCGTGAAATTTCGTTTTAGAAAAGTTTTAAGTGACTTTGGCCATTACCCGCGGCCAACCCAAAATGGGGGGGGGGGGGCTGAAAATGTCAAAATATCTCAAATTCCCTCGAAAATGACCGTTTCGCCGCGATTTCTCGCCAGTAACGCGGACACGATTGGTAATATCGTAAAATTGTTTATCCCTAAAATGATGGAGCATAAGTTTTTCATTCGAGGGGCGGCCTAACCCCTCGTGGGGGACAGGGGGCCCCCAGCAGTACCCATCCTATAAAAACCGTCAAGATAGGCTGCTTCCTTGAAGTAGCGTTATGCGCGAAAACGGGCGGCTAAATGAAAACATGTAGCGTTTGTTCTGAGAGAACATTATTTTGACTTCTTGTGAGAGGTGGCGGGGGAAGGAGGTACATCCTCCTCCCTCCCCCTCCCCCCCAAAAAATAATCACGAAAAACGTTAATTAAACGCGAAAATTCCACGACTAATCATTCATTTTGTCACTGACACATACCACAGTGATGTATCTATCAAAAACATTCAGGGATTTTGAGGGGGATTAGGGGATACTTTTTTATGAAAGGACCCCCAACCTAAATACCTCGTAGTTGGAAGAGTATTTTAGGCAAGGGTGAAAACAAGAACCAGCTTATCAATCCATTCTTAACTGAATGAAACCGAAAGAAATACGCCCAATATTCTCACGGAAAAAGTATATTTAAGGCATGGAGAAGGGTGTACCCAGTATACTTCTGCTGACGGTGTGAAAGTTGACTTCAATTTGCAAACTCAATAAAAATCAAGCCAATAAGAAGCAGACTCTCGAATAATTTTGCTTTTTTTGAGTCGAACTATCTTGATAACTATTCTTCAATCAGAGTTCGTTCGCCGGACACAGATGTATTTATGCTCCTTCTTCGATGCACCGACGACATTAAAAAAATTGTCCTTTTTGATACAGAAAGAAGCAACTGTCAAAGAGTGATTGATGTTTGCTCTGTTGCAAGTAAGTTAGGACCAGATATGTGCCATCCCTTACTGAATTTACATGATTTTTTCAAGTTGTGACATAATCAGTTCTTTCTTGCGGCCTGGCAAAAAATTTGTATCGTCATAAATTTAAAAAAATCAAAAGTTTGTTCCAAGTTTCCGATTGCTTGATCAATCTACAACAGAGTCAAATGATCGCTTCTCTAGAGGAATTCGTATGTTGTATAAACTCTTCTTCAAAAAAATCTGATCACTAAAATAATCAACTGCTAGGGTTCGAGGTTTTCTCAAGAATAGATGGAGCGACAATAGACCGTATTCGATAACGGTTCGATGTATCGTTTGGTTCAAAACAATAGAACATAACCTCAAACCAAACTGTAAGGATTTTAATTGGAAAAGCTGAAAATGAGAAATTTCCTGACAATTTCACTTTGCATTAGCATTTGGTACTCAAAAGAATAAAAAATCTGTTTCAAAAGATCCGTTCTCTCAGATTTCTGAATTTACTTTTGAGGCTATGTTTATGTTTTGAACCAATCGATATCGATACAATCTTTTAAACTTTGTGAATTTTTCATTTTACCAGGTTGATAAATGAGTATTACCTGATTTATTTATTTTTTCTTCCTGGTTGTTTTGTTCTTCTCTTCCTTCAGGCTATGTACATTTCGGAATATACCTATTCCATCTTCAGGCCACTTCACCACTTTACTAGCACTATAGTGCGCGTTCTATATTCGATAAACTTAGGATGTTAAAACACTTAAAAGTTAAAAAACCGGAAAATAAAAATTAAAAATTACGCGTAGACTAAAAAGACTGCCCGAGGCGCGACCGATCACTGATTACTTGATTTTTCCTCCTCGGCTCTTGTCCACGGGGCTAAGGAACGTGGCATTATCAGAGGTGTTACTGTCGATTCGATTTGGGTGTTGAGGATGTTGCCGGATGTTTTCGCGCGCTCGATTTCCATTTGTTCCAACAGGTTCATTTTTTTGCCCTTTTTACATGTATGTATCACCTCAATTTGGCATTTTTTGTATTCATGATTATGTTCTATGAGATGGTCGCTGAGTGAGGAGTGTCCTGATTTTTTGAGGCGTGCGTTGGCAAAATGTTCGTTGGTGCGGGTATTTATGGTACGCCCTGTTTGCCCAATGTAATATTTTCCACATTTGCAGCTGACTTTGTAAATCCCACTGGTATTTAATTTATCTGTATGGGTCTTTTTCGTGTTGATGAGTTGACGTCCTAAATTTTGATTGTTATGGTAGGTCACATTGGTGGTTTTGTGTTCTTTCCTGATTATCTTTTTTGTTTGTTCTGATATTCCTTGGCAGAAGGGTATGGCAATCCACTTATTATTTTTTGGTATGTTGTTATTGAAGAGTACCTTAGCTTCTTGGCGAGACCGTTGTTTCCTTAGTATTCTCATTATGTCTTCTTTTTTATAACCATTGTTTATGGCTATAGTGATAATAGTATTTAGTTCTTCGTTGTACTCTTTCTTCTCGAGTGGTAGATTTAAAAGTCGATATATCATGCAGTGAAAGCCTGCCATTTTATGTCCCCAACTGTGATGGGAGTTATATGGGATAATGGAGTCAGTGTAGGTTTTCTTCCTGTAAACTTTTATTTTGATTTTGTTGTCTGTGATAATTAATGTTAG